TTTTCTCAACCCATTAGTTAAGCCTTTGGCATCGGTCTCCGAATTATTCTTATCGAGAGCCTTCTCAAGTTTAAGCCTTCAGCATCGGTCTCCAAAGTATTAGTATCGAGAGCATTCTCAAGTTTATCTTTGACGGATAAAGCATAGGCAATCTCATCACCCTCAATTACAATTTCAACAGGAGTAGCGATTGAATTTTGCTCAAAATTAATTTCTTGAAAATTACTAGTTGCTTCAAAAAAATCATCACTATTCTCCTCCTTGTTGACAAACTGAGTCTCTTTATTGCAATTTTGATATTGTTGATATAACATCTCCTGATAACTTGGCGGTAATCAACAAACTTTTTATCTTTGACCATGATTGTACAGGCTGTTTTTTTTGTCAACTCTGGTTAGTTTTTACCTGTTCCCACCAAGCTGAAGTACCTTTCTTAAGCATTATTGCTACAAGAGGAACTTGCTTGTGCTCTCGGGTATATCAAAAAACTCGAGAAAGCACTCAACTTCATTAAGCGAATCCAAGACATCCTTAACACAAAAACTAGAGATAAAAGTAAGTAAATCAAGTTTTTCTAAAACTTAGGATTGTCTGGATATTTGTAGTTTTTATCACGTCTCCCTCTGAATCCATAGTCTTCATCACCGGAATAATCCGCATAGACTAGAGGCCTACGTGGATAAACAAAAACATAACCCAAATTTGGTTGGCTATGAGACACATCGTCTGCGTGAACAATTTCAAAACTAGTTGTTACGAACCAATCTTGTTATTTTTTTTTTTTATAAGTAAAAATGTATTAGAAAGCGTTTAAAAGGGAAACGCGTCCCGAGAGCTGTACAAAGTGGTAATTGTTATGAAGACACGGTGTTGGTTTCTTGTTATGGTGGTCCTGACCATTGAGACAGTTGCCAACTTAATCTTAATTGCCGTCCTTTGTCATCTGTTTTCTGCTGCCACAAAAGCTGGAACTGGGTTCTTGTGGCTCGTAAAGAGAGCTAGATTGAAGATATTGAGAGAATTTCTATTGGGATACAAGTTGTGCTGGAATCAGTGTTGCCGTTCTTATCATACTCTGCCAAATTAGTTTTGCAACTTCTTATCGCTACTCTTTTTGATCTTCTCTTATGGTGATTTTTGTGTTCAGTCAAGAGCTTCTAATTTATTTTGTCAAGTGGATTAGAAGTTTCAAGGAAGTAGTTGCAATTCTATTGAAGAAAAAAATACAGAGTTGGTTTGTATCATCAGCAAATTTGCAATCCTACTATACTTTGACGATGTATTGTTGGTTCAAACATATTATCGTTCACTTATTTGCTAAACCACCAAGACCAGAGGAACTTTAATTTAAAGTAATGTCCATATAGTTCTATGACTAAACGAGTTGGATTTGATATCAAAATTTAAAATACTTTATTTTCACTATATTCAATTTAAGTATGTTTTTACCTTAATCTTGATGGGATTTTGTTGAGGATTGAATAGCTCGTGCATAGTGTAACTTCAATTTCGGAGTGCTAGTTGATGTTTTCATCCTTTTTTTTGGATATAACAACCTCATTTGCTCATAGCTGATTAAATAAAGGTGGCACTCAAGATGGATTGAAGGGAATATATCGAGTAGATGTTGATCTCCCGGCAGATGATTGGGCCGACATATCTGATTTCTATGATGCTTATTTTCAATACTGGCCGTTCTTATTTTGCTTATTGATTTAATAAACTAATATCTTCGAGGCTTTTTTTTTTTTTTTTTTTTTTTTTTTTTTTTTTTTTTTTTAACATTAATAGAAATTCTAAAAATTCTTATTTGCTCAATCACATAAAAAGTGGATCTTGTTATGGAATACTGGTAGTGCTCGGGGATCAGACTGTTTGCCTTCTCTGTTGTCATTATAAACTTCGTTTATTATTTGTTTGCTGTGTTAAATAGCTGTATTGGGCATTTGGTACATTTATCTCCCAAAATAAAAGTAAAGAGTAATTTTCATTTATTCGAGCACTTCCTCTGCAAAGCAGACATATAGGTTGACCAGTGACAAAAAAATAAAATAAAATAAAAAATGGAAAGGCGGGGAAATGAAAATCAGACTGGTCCACCTGGTGGTGACATGCATATCATCTTCAATCCTGGGCATTATTGATAGTTTTATCCTAAAATTTTGAAAATGTGAAATATTACTGCCAGAAAAATCTTGTACTCGGAAGCTTTGAATTTCTTTGAATGCTATGGAAATATGACCATCCTTCTAAGCTTCTCTGAAAATTTAATTGGAATTTGCAGAATTTTTTTCTCAATCAGTAATTTTGCGCATGGTTCAAAATCAGGGAAAAAAAAAATATTGATTTTCAAAATTTCCTCAAAACTTAAATCTTTTTCTTTAGAGGAGATTACTGCTGTTTTTAGTGAGAAAAATCAACACTGGTACCTGGACAGCTTGACAGGTGGTTTGATCCCAGCAATAATGGGGTGAACAAAGAAGCAAGACAATTGAATCATCTTATTGAAGAGGCACTACAAGGCACAGATATCCGATTGCTTGATCTAACTCATTTGAGTGAGTTCAGAGCAGATGCTCATCCTGCAATTTGGTTGGGAAAGAAGGATGCAGTGGCAACTTGGGGTCAGGTCTGTATGCACTGGTGCCTACCAGGTGTTCCTGATACGTGGGTTGATATTCTGTCACAACTGATCCTTTATAGCTCGGAAATGGGGTGATGAATGGTGAAATGAACACTATCAAGTTCGATTGAGATTTCCAACTTGCCAATTCCAACGAATGCTGCAGCGAATTGTTCAGCAGTCACTCCCAGTGCACAGATCAGATCAGGATGTGAGAAGTTGGTAGTCCCACGAGTCAGGTTTCCCTGTCAATTTGAATGCTAGTATGCATTCAGGGGAGGTTGACCTTGTTTATAATTATTATGCTGGATCTGTTTCTTCTTCTTGTTGTGTGTGTGTATTAGTGTGTTGGCGAGGCATGCAGAAAAGGTCGGTCGAAGGTGAGCTAGCATTGGAATGATCTCAAGGTTTCAAGTTGAAACTTCAATTTTTGAGAATAAGTCATCTTTATCATTTTTTTTTCCTGGAATTTTGTTGTTCTTCTCCAAACTAGTTGAGAACTATGCTGTTAACTGTAATTTTTTATTTATTTGTCCACATGAATACAGTACATTTCAAGTCTCCACTTTGGATGAGTTATTGCAGGAGTTTTTAGTGATATTGTTTCCCCTTAAAGTTACAGATTGCTCTGTTTTTTTCTTTCTTTGTTGGATTAATACATGAACTTGTAAATCTGAAGCAGTGGCATTGAACTTCTGGTCATTTCATTTTATGCAGTCTGATTCTTGTGTGATTGTGATTTACAAAAACGAAACAAGTGGTAAAAATTATATGGTGTTATATGATAGTTTGGGTCTTTTTGTTTGTTTTTTGGTAGGGGTAAAGTTTACCATATTTATTCCAAGTAAAATTTATAAGTTTTATTATTATAAATTAAAATGTTCATATTTCAAAGCATTTGAAATGAATGGAGAAGTCCAATTCAAAGCTTATACCTGATTTGAATATTCAATTTTAGTGAGACCCATTTCAATGTGATTTTTTTAATCCTTTTCTAATGCCTTTGTTTGTAATTTCTATAGATCTTTTTTCTAATTTTATTTAACTTATTTTTGATCCAAAAGTGGCAACATAAGAGAACGAGGTAGTGAGCTGTGTATTGATGAGGACATGGAATAAATATTTTTTATTTCATCTATCCATAAACATAATAGCAAATGCAATTGCTCATCTATATTCATTCAATTAAAACAACTATAAATTTCAATTCGACATGGTTGATATACAAATAAAAGTCTTTGTAGAGGAAATTTCAACACCTGTATTCAATAAAGTAATTCCTAAAACGCAAACTTTCCATTTTTAGTCAATTTTGTAAGCATTAATTTATCAAGTATTTTAAAAAAATAAAAATAAATTCTCAGCAATTTAACTTTGTAAAGAAAAAAAACGCTCTTTTAATTTGTCCTTGGGAATTTAATTTTGAAAAAGCACATTGTGTCATTAACTAATCATAAAAACGAAATGACATTTTTACAAAATCATTCATTCCTGTATAATTCAAATCATTTAGTAAAAACGTTGAATTAGGATCCTCATCAATGATTACTAATTTTTGTAAGTGCATTTAGTAAATAAAAATCAATTTTCATGTGGCACAGTATTGTTCACTAAATATACACATTAATTTTAGTAAAACTAATCTAGATAAATTAGAATCCCCTTCACTTATTATCGATTTACGTTTGAATAACAAACAATTTTCATGTGGTACAATAGTGTTCACCAAATATACAAATTGAATTTAGTAAAAATGTACCTAGATAAATTAGAATCCCCTTAACTTATTATTGATTTATATCAGCGTATTTACCGAATAACAATTTATAAAATGCTGTCCTTATTTTTTTAATTTTTTTTTTTGTTTTTGTTTTTTTATTTTTTAAAAAATGTACCGTGACTGTTACTATCCAAAGGTTTTGTTTATATATAAAGGTGTGAAATCAACTCAATTAATTTTGAATATGTTATCGTGATGATGGTAAGATATTTGGGTGTTGCTGTGTTTCTCTTTTGACAATTTTCATTGTAAAGTTTTGACTATTGTTTCTTTACAAATTTGAAACTTGTTTTTCAATTTTTTTTTGTTCCGCTTCAAGATTTGTATGTCTACGCCAAGACCCCAAAAGGACATAAACCCATAAAGAATGACCATCAAACCCTAAGCAAACTCACTGCGTGTACCTAATAATGCTGACTCTCAATCTGAACATTCCAACCAGATCAAAACCTCAATTTCAACCTCAACCAACCATCAAACCCTAAACAAGGGAACTCTCTTTACCTAATAATGTTCACTCTCAATCTGAACATTCCAACCAGATCAAAACCTCAATTTCCCCAAAAACCTCAACCAACCCATCAACAAAAACCTCAAATGGCGCTAAGGGTTCATCTCCTCTCCCCCCAAATCCCCTCACAAACCCTAAAATCCCAAACCCATCGTCCTTTCCCCTCCACAACCCTCCAAACCCACACCCCCAAGATCCAAATCTCATGCGCCAACAGCATCAGTGATGCAGAGCTTGCATCAGATTTGGCCACAGAACTTGAAAAGATGAGCACCCATTTGGTGCAGAGAGAGGAAGCCATGAAGAAGAGCAGACAAATCTTGTTCACAGAGCTGTGTCAGTACATGGGTTCGAATTCTGAGGAAGTGAAGAAGACATGGAAGAAGATGAGTGATGAAGACAAGTGGGTTTTGGCCAAAGGGTTTGTTTCGGATTGGGGTGTCAATTTTCATCCATTGTCTGCTAGGTCTGTCAAAGATATGGTTGAGGAACACTTGGTTGAAGACAACCCATCTTTGGGTTCTTCACTGTTTTTCCCTAATTTTAAGAAAATGATGGGGTTTTCACAAAGCAAATGAAGGGTGAGAAATTTATGTGGGTGTGTTGCGGTTGGAAATTGAGATAGGTGATATAATTGTCATTTGTTCTCAATTAGAGAGACTTCAATTTGGGGTTTCAAATTTGAAAAATCTACTTTTTTTTATGAGAAGTTGCAGATAGGTTGATAAATTATTAAAAATTGTGGAGAAAAATTGGTTAATTTTGATGAATTTGGGGGAGAATAACCTGCTTTGAATGAATTTTTTTTTTTTTTTTTTTTTTTTAACTGGTAAATTTTGGAAGATTATTTGCTCATGAAATCCAACAGAAAGCAGCTGGTGCGTCTCCAATAATTTAAATTATTTATTAAGTAGTTAAATTTGTTTAAAAAACAGGTCTCTCGAAATTTATTTGTTTTATTAATGATTTTCAGGAAAAAATGTTGAGGTTCAAGCTGAACGCACAATGAATGTATGAGGAATATTTGTATCTATATCTGTATATATCAAAAAAGAAAAAGTGGACAGAAAAAAGGAGGGGAAAAAGTGAAGTGACATTATTGCTTTTCATCAAAACTTTGTGACTATTAATTTGTATTATAGAGTGAGGGATTTTAATTTCTATAAAATACAGTAAAATAAAATTAAATTTAAAATTAAAATTCTTCATCAAAACTAGAATGTCTCATTAATTTTCTTGGATTGCACCCTACCAAAAAATAGAATAAAAGAGTGACAGATTCTCTTTTTGAGTGTCTCTTTTATCTTTTGTACCTTCCCATTCATGCCCAAAAAAAATAATAAAAAAAAAAAAATGAAAGGAAAAAAGAAAATGAAATTGAGAAAAACAGAAAGAAAAAAAAAAGTAGAAAACTATTGAGAGGTAAAAGTTGGATGTATTAATTAAAAGGGTAAAGTGCACTAAACTCCCTAGAAGTATGACCCAATTGCAATAAACCCTCCTGAAGTAAGTAAAATCCCCTTAAAGTATGATTGTGTTGCACACAAAGATAATCCGTCTGCGGCTGTTAACGGAAAAAGGAAATGACGGTTTAACCATTACTTTGAAGAGTGTCGTTTTAGTTCTATTTTGCTGTTGATGGCTATATAATATGAGAAACAATAAAGATGCGACACCTAACCTTATCAATAACATCACCCAGCAACATTTGATGGCGCTAAACATATTCCATCGCAATCAACAATTTGTTTTCCTTGCTCTCAGTTCTTGGTTCTCAGTTGTATTTGACAAAATTATGGCCATTGAATGTGAATTATATATACAAATATATATATACATATACATCCCTCATATCTCTCTAACAACATTCACCGTCCCATCCATGGCTGCCACATCCACGGTCTGTCCATGGTTGTCGCCAACACTACTCTCTCTCCCCCACAAAGAATATTCTTCCCTCATAACCACTTCCACTGCCCACGGCCGCCACCATACTCGCCCTATCTCCAACCCACCTCTCTTTTTTTTTTTTTTTTTTCTCTCTCGTTATCCTCCAACTCAAGCGACGACAAGAACTTCGAAGAGGTGGAAAATCATTCAACGGAGATTTGCTTTTGTTGACAAGATCGATCCAAAGAACTCCAATCCAACGCGAAAGATGTGGCAACGACCGTTGAAGCCTAGGGTTTGAAAACCCATTTCTTGTAAAAGTAACTTCACCATATGATCAGGGAAATTTTTTTTTTTTTAAATCCACCATATGTGTCAGTAATTCTGTTCCTTCAATCATCATCATCTTTTATAACAAATTCACATCCTGATTCAAATCAACCCTAAGATCATTGTTCTTCGCCGAACTCAAGACCGATTCCTTGCTTGCAATTTATAGGTTCGTTCTCAGGGTATGATGTTGTCAATGGAGAAAGACAACGTCCATTCCAAACATCACCGTCAATGGAGAGAGACTCATCACGCACCAAATCCGATCAACCCCAATTTACAACCTGTTTTAAATTGAAACCTATTTTGATATTCTGATGGTATTACTCTACACTTTTCCTTCATCGATCTCTTCCAATTTCTTGTTGGCGCCAAAAATACTAGTGAGGAGGTGGAGAGACAAAGGAGGGGCGGTGACGGCCGGATGGACATGGCTACCACCAGTGGATAGAGAGAGAGAGAGAGAGAGAGAGAGAGAGATAAAGTCACCTCGATATGAAAATTTGAGTTAGAATTGCTGAAAATCGATACTGAACAAGAGGAATTGCTGAGACTGAAAGTTAGAGCTTCGAATTTTGGGATTCTCTGGTACGAATGGGATATATATATATATATATATATAGTCTTTAACTATTGTTATAAGGGTATATATGATATTTTATATTTGGGTAAAGTGCACTAAACTCCCCTGAAGTATGAACCAATTGCAATAAACCCCCCAGAAGTAAGTAAAACCCCCTTAAAGTATGATTGTGTTGCACATAAAGATAATCCGTCTGCAGCCGTTAACGGAAAAAGGAAATGACCGTTTAGCCTTTACTTTGAAGAGCGTCGTTTTAGTTCTATTTTGCTATTGATGGCTATATAATATGAAAACCAATAAAAATGTGACACCTAACCTTATCAATAACATCACCCAGCAACATTTGATGGCGCCAAACATATTCCATCGCAATCAACAATTTGTTTTCGTTGTTCTCAGTTCTTGGTTCTCAATTGTATTTGACAAAATTATGGCCATTGAATGTGAATTATATATACAAATATATATATATACCTATACATCCCTCATATCTCTCCAACGACCTTCACTGTCCCGTCCATGGCTGCCACATCCACGGTCTGTCCATGGTTGTCGCCACCACTACTCTCTCTCCCCCACAAAGAATATTCTTCCCTCATAACCACTTCCACTGCCCACGGCCGCCACCATACCCGCCCTATCTCTAACCCACCTCTTTTTTTTTTTTTTTTTTTTTTTTTTTTTTTTTTTTTTTTTTTTTTTTTTCTTTCTCTCGTTGTCCTCCAACTCAAGCGACGACAAGAACTTCAAAGAGGTGGAAAATCATTCAACGGAGATTTGCTTTTGTTGACAAGATCGATCCAAAAAACTCCAATCCGACGCGAAAGATGTGGCAACGACCGTTGAAGCCTAGGGTTTGAAAACCCATTTCCTATAAAAGTAACTTCACCATAGGATCAGGGAAATTTTTTTTAAAAAAATCCACCATATGTGTCTGTAATTCTGTTCCTTCAATCATCATCATCTTTTAGAACAAATTCACATCCTGATTCAAATCAACCCTAAGATCATTGTTCTTCGCCGAACTCAAGACCGATTCCTTGCTTGCAATTTATAGGTTCGTTCTTAGCATATGATGTTGTCAATGGAGAAAGACAACGTCCATTACCAACATCACCGTCAATGGAGAGAGACTCATCACGCACCAAATCCGATCAACCCCAATTTACAACCTGTTTTAAATTGGAACCCATTTTGATATTCTGATGGTATTACTCTACACTTTTCCCTCATCGATCTCTTCCAATTTCTTGTTGGCACCAAGAAATACTAGTGAGGAGGTGGAGAGACAGAGGAGGGGCGGTGACTGCCGGATGGACATGGCTACCACCAGTGGATAGAGAGAGAGAGAGAGAGAGATAGAGTCACCTGGATATGAAAATTTGAGTGGGAATTGCTGAAAATCGATGCTGAACAAGAGGAATTGCTGAGATTGAAAGTTAGAGCTTCGAATTTTGGGATTCTCTAGTACGAATGGAATATATATATATATATATATATATATATATATATATATATATATATAGTCTTTAACTGTTGTTATAAGGGTATATATGATATTTTATATCTGGGTAAAGTGCACTAAACTCCCCTGAAGTATGAACCAATTGCAATAAATCCCCCTGAAGTAAGTAAAACCCCCTTAAAGTACGATTGTGTTGCACACAAAGATAATCCGTCTGCAGCCGTTAACAGAAAAAGGAAATGACCGTTTAGCCCTTACTTTGAAAAGCGTCATTTTAGTTCTATTTTGCTGTTGATGGCTATATAATTTGAGAACCAATAAAGATGCGACACCTAACCTTATCGATAACATCACCCAGCAACATTTGATGGCGCCAAACATATTCCATCGCAATCAACAATCTATTTTCGTTGCTCTCAGTTCTTGGTTCTCAATTGTATTTGACAAAATTATGGGCAATGAATGTGAATTATATATTCAAATATATATATACATATACATCCCTCATATCTCTCCAACGACCTTCACCGTCCCGTCCATGGCTGCCACATCCATGGTTGTCGCTACCACTACTCTCTCTCCCCCACAAAGAATATTCTTCCCTCATAACCACTTCCACTGCCCACGGCCGCCACCATACCCGCCCTATCTCCAACCCACCTCTTTTTTTTTTTTTCCTCTCTCGTTGTCCTCCAACTCAAGCGACGATAAGAACTTCGAAGAGGTGGAAAATCATTCAACGGAGATTTGCTTTTGTTGATAAGATGGATCCAAAGAACTCCAATCCAACGCGAAAGATGTGGCGACGACCATTGAAGCCTAGGGTTTGAAAACCCATTTCCTGTAAAAGTAACTTCACCATATGATCAGGGAAATTTTTTTTTTAAGAATCCACCTTATGTGTCTGTAATTCTGTTCTTTCAATCATCATCATCTTTTATAAGAAATTCACATCCTGATTCAGATCAACCCTAAGATCATTGTTCTTTGCCGAACTCAAGACCGATTCCTTGCTTGCAATTTATAGGTTCGTTCTCAGCGTATGATGTTGTCAATGGAGAAAGACAACGTCCATCACCAACATCACCGTCAATGGAGAGAGATTCATCACGCACCAAATCCGATCAACCCCAATTTACAACCTGTTTTAAATTGGAACCCATTTTGATATTCTGATGGTATTACTCTACACTTTTCCCTTATCGATCTCTTCCAATTTCTTGTTGGCGCCAAGAAATACTAGTGAGGAGGTGGAGAAACAGAGGAGGGGCGGTGACGGCAGGATGGACATGGCTACCACCAGTGGATAG